TTTGCTGCTGGCATCCAATAAGTCTTATAAAATATATAGATTTATGATAATTAAGACTGAGCTAGAAGATGAGAAATCCTAGTCATTGGGCAAGCAGCATTTGTACCTAATATAAGTCTCTGTATGTTACTTGGGACCTTAACGTGGTGGCAGGCAGAACTTGGGTGTCCTGGTGGAAAGTGCCCACGTGGCAGCAGGGCTTGGGCGGCTTGGTGGAAAGACTTATTGTTACAGTGCTTGATGTGATAGGGCCCATTCTATTGGGGGTGGTTCCATCCCTGGGTAGTCCTGGGTTTTAAAAGAAAGCAGGCCAAACGAGGCATATTGAGCAAGCCAGTGAGCAGCACCCCCTATGGCCTCTACATCAGTGCCTGTCCCCAAGTTCCTGCCTGTTTGAGTTCCTGTCCTGATTTCCTTTGATGATTAACAGTGCTATGGAAGTGTAGCCAAAAAAACGTTTTCCTCCCCAATTTACTTTGGTCATGGTGTTTCATCACAGTGATAGAAACCCTAAGACAAGATCCTCCCTTTCTTCCATTTTGGAATTGTAATGTATATTCTGTACTATTGTACATTGGAAGTATGCGATCTGCTTTTTGGTTTTGATTTTTTACAGGGGTTACTGTTAAGAGATTGCTCTGAGTCTCAGAAGAGACTTTGAGTTGTGGATTTTTAACAGTGATAAGCCTGTGGGAGCTGTACTGACTGACTGACTTTATGTGTCAACTTGATACAAGCTAGATTCATCAGAGAGGAAAGAGTACCAATCAAGGAAATGCCTCCATGAGATCCAGCTTTAAGATATTTTATCAATTAATGATAAATGGCAGAGGGTCTAGCCCATAGTGGGTGGTACCATCCCTGGTATGGTGTTCCTGGCTTCTATAAGAAAGCAGTTTGAGCAAGTCAGATGGAGCAAGCCAGTAAGCAGCACCCCTCCATGACTTCTGCATCAGTCAGCTCCTGCCTCCAGGTTCCTGGCCTGTTTGATTTCCTGGCCTGACTTCCTCCAAATGATGTACTATTGATGGGGAATGTACTACTGTGTATGTTTATCTTATTGATTATTGAATAAAATACTGTTTGGCCAATGAGACAGCAAGTTAGACGGAACTAGGAATCAAAGAGGATTCTGGGAAATGTAGTAGAGAAGTGCTGATCCAGGCAGGAAGTGACATAGCAAGGAGACTCATATTTAAGCGAAAGAGAAACAGAAAGGGCCCTCTTTTTTCCCCTCGGCTCCTGCTCCAATGGCACGATGTGATCCACCAGCTAGGAGGGATGCCAATAAGGCGTCCGATAAGGTAAGTCTTATAAAATATATAGATGTATGATAATTGAGACTGAGCTAACAGATGAGAATCCTAGTCATTGGCCAAGCAGCATTGTAACTAATACAAGTCTCTCTGTGTATTCATTTGGGACTAACTCGGGCAGGCGGCTGTCGTAAAGCTCACACGTGGCAGTGGGGCTCAGGCGGCTTTTGGCAGAAAGATTTATAGTAACAGACTATGATCTGGAAGTGTAAGCCAAATAAATCATTTCCTCCCCAACTTGGTTTTTGGTCATGGTGTTTTGTCTCAGCAATAGAAACCCTAACTAAGATAGGAGCTTTAAACTTAGTGTAGTGGAAACTTCCTGAAGTTTATGAGGGTGATCATACTAAAGACTCCTAGTAATGAAAGATATGGAGCCTGAACTGGACATCTTAGGTAACCTGGCAAGTCTCTCTGTGGTTAGACCAGGGCACCAACCTAGCCACAAAACCTTCAACCCACACCTGTCTAGCCTGCAAGATGTGTTGAGGCAATGGTTGCTCAGAGCTTGTGAGAGTGGCCAACCTTTGACTGGTATAACTTGAGAGCCAAGCCACAAGATGGAGCCTATGCCTGACAATGCTTGGATGACCAGGAACCAGAAGCTGATGCTCAGGGTAGAACCAAAGATAACCTACAGAAAAAAGGAAATAATTCCTAACAATATTCTGCTATACTCTATAGACCAGTTCCTAGTCCAATTGTCATCAGAGAGCTTCCTCCAGCAGCTGATGGGATCAGTTGCAGACATTCATAACTAAACATTAGGCAGAGCTCAGGAGACCCTGTGGAAGTAGGGAAAGAAGGACTGTAGGAGCCAGAAGAGCCAAGGATACCAGAAAAACACAGCCCATAGAATCAACTAAGCATGGATCATAGGGGCTCACAGAAATATAAGTGGCAATCACGGAGCCTGCATGGGTCTGCAAAGGTCATTTGCATACACACTGTGGTTGTTTAGCTTGGGGTATTTGTGGGATTCCTAATAGTGGTAGAGAGGGTATCTCTGATTCTTTTTGCCTGCTCTAGGGACCATTTTCCTTCTACTGGATTGCCTAGTCTCTTTACATCTTGTTATGCTATGTTTGGTTGCTATCCCTGGGAAGCTTGTTTTTGAAGGAAACAGAGGAGGAGTGGATCTGGGGGAGAAGGGATGGAGGGCTGGAAGGAGTGGAGGGAGTGGAGGCTGCTGTCTGGTTGTATTGTATGAAAGGAAAATATATTTTCTGCCTTGTGATATGACTACAAACCTATAGGGGCCAGGGAGTGGAATACTGTGGTTTGAATAAGAATGGCCCCCATAGGCTCATACATTCAAATATTGGTCATCAGGGAGTGGCACTATTTGAGAGAGATTAGGAGGTATGACAATAAGCAAGCTCCAATTAAACATTTTCCTTTTTAAGAGTTTCCATGGTTCATAGTGTCTCTTAACAGCAATAGAATACTAAGACTACTATACTAATTACTACTAAGACTACTACTACTAACCTACTAACCTACTACTGTAGAAGATACACATACATACAGAGAAGAGGGGGATGCAGGGAGAGAATGGGAGAGAGAGGAAAAGAAATAGAGAATATTAAAATGGAGTTATTCTACAATAGAGCAACAATGCCTCTACTAGATTCCACAGATAACAAATAAAAAGCCCAGTGCTAGGAATGGGTTACTATTTTGGAGTTCTTAGTCAATGAGGTCACACAGATCCCCAAACATGGCAGGCTATTTCTAATGCTATTGTTTACCCTCTAGAACTTGATGGTAAGACCCAACTGCTGAAGACACCATGCACTTGAGTTATAGAACATGGACAAAATCAAGCTGGCATTGACCTGGAAGCTTCACCCATAGTGGCCAGCTTTCATAGTGCAAGAATTTTCTATGCACACTGCCTGGAGAGAAAAGTAGTCAAAATATTTTCTAACTATGAACTTTGTAAACTACAGTAACAACTGATCTGACAAGATATGTCCACTGGTGTGATAATGGCACAAATGTTATTGAAGTGACCAATAACTTTCTGCTTGAATCTAAGACATGTCCCATGACTCAGAATCCATACCTAACACTGTTAAAGGGTCCAAGAACTTGTGTTTAGATAAGTCATAGACCCTAGAGGAGGACTGTTGTATAATAAATAAAAGACCCAGAGACTGATATTGGGGTTCAAATTTAAGCTGAAGATAAAATCAAAGCAGCTATTCACTAGCTCTTACTCTATCTCAGACTGAAAGGAGATCCTAACTCTACCAAACTTCTGACTGTAACCTCTCTTCAGCATGACTGGAGAATCCTGGGATTTCAATGTCTTTCTATCCTCAATGTGGCTGGAAAATGAATCCTCCTATCCTCAATGTGACTGGAGAATGAGTGCCTGATCCTGACTACTGAAGACCCTGCTCCTGTCTTTTATACCTCTCTAGTGCTGAGATTAAAGACCTGTGATCCCAGGTCCTGAGATCGTCTTTGTGTGAGTTGTTTCTCTTTTGGACTGAATCAATCTTGTGTAGATCTGGGTGGCATTGGACTCACAGAGAGTTATCTACTTCTTAATCCTTAGTTCTAGAATTAAAGGTGTGTACCACTACCTCCTAGCTTCTGGCTGCTGGGATTAAAGGTGTGTATCACCACTGCCTAATCTCTCTATTTTGAGGCTGACTTTGCTTTCTGAATCCTCAGGCAAGATTTAATAAATCATAAGTAATACATCACTACAATCCCCCTTTTTATCTAATACTAAAAGAAAAACTACTGACATAAGAAAAACTATATACAATAAGTATATTCAATATATACAGGCAACAAGTTCATCGACAATGTCTAGTTCATTTATATTTGACAAATTTAGAGAAAATATCTAGTTCATTTGCATTTTGACAAATTCAGAGAAAATCCTTCATTATCTGTCCTATCTTGGTGAGTCCAAAGTCTTGTACATAATGTAATTTTTCAACAAATTTTAAAATTAATTTTTTTACATTCCAATCCCTGGCCTCTTATCTGCTCCTCAGAGAGGGTAAAGAATCACCTAGGTAATCTACTAAGTCTGTCCCATCATCTCATTGAGGCAGGACCAAGGCACCTCCCCACCCCACACTCCTGTGTCTGGGCTGGGCAAGGCATATCTCCACATAGAATGGGCTCCACTAAGTCAGTTTGTACATTAGAGTTAGATCTTGGACCAACTGCCAGTGGTCTCATATAATGCCACAGCTGCACCATTGTCACCTATATTAAGGTACTCTAGTTTGGTCTTATGCAGGTTGTCCATGTAATTTATTTTCTATTCTAATTTGCATTATCAAATTGTTTTTAATGTTTCTCAAGCTTTTACACTTTACATATCTTTTAGTGAGTTTCTTTTCTGAGTCTGGTAAACAATGAAAACTTATAACTCTTCAATTCTGTCAAAGACCCAAGAAGGAAATAATATTAACTGAGAAAACAGGAAGTGCAAGCAAGCCACTTCCAAAAATGTGAGAAATGACAGAAATAGCTGACTGCCTGGACAGTCACCCAAGATTCCTCTGCATTGTTGGTGCATCCATCTTTGGACTATAGACCTAGCATCTCTGACAGACTTTTCTGTGAAGTAGGATTTTCTGAAGGCTGTCTCGCCTTGCCTTGGCAAGGTTTTGCAGTCACACTCTTGTGTCCTGCTAGTCCAATTTGGACAGCAAACTGTCAACAGTTGAGGCAAGGGTACTTTCTTGCCCCATGGCTACTTTGGCTACAAAAAGTGAACTCCATGTGTAGTTTCTTTGATGCCCATCATCTTCTCTGAAGTAGATTGGTGCTGCCAGGAGCAGACATGTCTTGTCATAAAAATATCTATGTTATTAAAACATTTAAAATGACATATTCTATAGATCTCTGAATTGTTTGAAGATGACCTATCTATCTAATATATATATATGTTTGAGTTTGAAAACATACCTAATATGATTACATGTTCGATTGTAATAGGTGACTAGTTACTCACCGCATTTCCTTATTATCTTATATAGCTGGTAATAATAATTTTCTAGAACTAGAAATTTGCATTACATTGATAAATGAACTATATAGGTACAATACCTTGAACAAGATTAGATACATATGTACAATATGTTTTAACAAATTAATTTCAAGTTTGTATCAATATACAGTATTTGTATATTACATACAGAAGTCCAATTCATTGTAAAATATTTAAAAGTAGTAGTTGCTTTTTAAGAGTAGATTCAATAATCTGCCTTTTCATGTCATATCTGCACTTCTTAGAAGAGATTCAATAATCTATGTTTTTATCTTATGATATCTGTATCCTCCCTTTTTTTCAAGAGTAGATTCAATAATCTATCCTTTTATCCTATCTGTATCCTTTTTTCCAAAACAAAAACCTTGAATGTAATACCCTTTGTTCAACTTTTTCTTGACTGTAACTAATAACATTTTGTAACCAATCCCCTTCATCAATGACAAATATCCATAACCTATTGAGTGGCAAAAACCCACCCACTCCACTTCTTGGGAATGTGGGTGCCATGTTCTTAAAGTTACTTCCTGCTGTCTGAGGGCAACGACATTTTTAGGGGATCCTGAAAAAATGGGTTAACTGTCAAGCTGTATTATTTTTGTTCAGTCTATGCATAATGGGAAAGTGTAGGGCTTGTCTCAAGTCTTGGGTAGAGTAGTCTGTGAGACTGGATCATCTCAGCTAGCCTCCTCAAAATTGTTCTGAGCAGTGTCGATGAGACTATATCATCTCAGCTGGTCACCTTGAAATTGTTTTGAGCAGTGTCTGTGAGATTGGATCAACTCTGCTGGCCACCTCAAAATTGTTCTGAGCAGTTTGTAGTCCTAAGTCGATCTTTAGTTGGAATTGTTCAGCTTAATGATGTTGTCACAGTCCTGGTGAAATTATTGTGAGGTTCCATATTCTTTTTTTAAAAATTTGTTTGATTGTTTTGTTTTGCAAGACAGGTTTTCTCAATACCATTATTTTGTTAAATGGACATAGTATTAAAATGACTTCTAATGACTTATTGCTATACTTATAGCTCAGTGTATTTCTCAACCCTCATCCTTTCTTTATAAGAATTTCTGTGGTCATGGTGTTTCTTCAAAACAATAAAAACTCTATCCTATCTATCTATCTATCTATCTATCTATCTATCTATCTATCTCTATCCAACTGGTCAACATCCAAAGAATAAGAGACTGTGGAGTACTCAGCCTTAAGTGGGACATACATATCAAACCCCTCCTGCAACTCAGGAATTTTTATGGAAGATGGGTTGGAAAGATAGTAAGAGCCAGAGGTACTCAATAACAACAAGGGAATAGTGCTTTTCAAATATAACAGGGTAGTTATATATATGAATTCAAAGCCATTGCGACAATATGCACAAGATCTGCACAAGCTCCAGGCAGAAAAATATCAACATAGAGGGAGAGGCGAAGTGGGTGCAAGATCCCACCACTAGCTGATGAGCTTTTGGCATTAAAAAGCTGCTGGAAAAAGAAAGTCAGTGTTCTTCAAGATGAGCTGTACAATACAAGCTAGATTTGAAATGGAAAGAAATAAAAGAAAAAATCTTAAAAGTTGGGTGGAAAGGTAAGGGAGAGTAGAGAGAGTGATTAAGGAAATGGTTGTGGGGAGGTTAATATGTTCAAAATGCATTATAAAAAATTCTCAAAGAATTAATAAAATATTTGTAAAAATAACATGAAGAGTAACTGACAAATACAACTGACATTAATCTCTGGTCTCCACATGCATTATGCATAGGTGCACACATACATGTATATAAATACATACATACCACATATGCATTCACACAAAGATTAAAAATAAAAAGATAAATTTCATGTTCATTTTAATATGGCTTCTAAAAATGCAAAATAATACATTTGATTTGCATTTGTGGTGCACATCATATCTCCATTAGTTAGGGTTCCTCTATAAGAAATAGCAAGGTGAGACAAGTTGAAAGACTGCATGCATTTAAAATAGTTGAGCTAACCTGCCTAAAGCATTACTCCATTTAGTTTACCATATTTGACTACATTAATAATTAATACACAAGGGATACAAATTCCTGAAAAAGACATATTTAATTATACAAAAGAAGCTACAATGTACTTGCCTTTAAGATGAAGGACTGAACTACTTATTTTGTACAAAATGAAGATCATCAGAGGACTCAGGGGTACCTACTCAGGTGGAGATATATATCATAGAATGTAGAATATATGGTCTTGAAAGGTAGAAAATTCAATTATAGAATCATTGTGATGCTATATTCCAAGTAGAAAGAAATGGGACACATCTGTATATTTAATTCTATTCCCAAGTGTCTTAATTAGGGTTTTCTTGCTGTGAAGAGACACCATGACCACAGAATCTCTTATAAAGGACAACATTTAATTGGGGTTGACTTACAGTTCAGAGGTTTAGTTCATTATTGTCATGGCAGGAAGCATGGTGGCATGCAGGCAGACATGGTGTTGGAAAGGTAGCTGAGAGTTCTACATCTGGATCCACAGGCAGCAGAAAGAGAATGTCACTTGAGCATCTAAGACCTCAAAGCATGCCCTCATTGACACCTTCTTTCAATGAGGTCACACCTACTCTGCCAATGCCATACCTCCTAATAGTGGCATTCCCTATGGGCCTATTGGGGTCATTATTATTGAAACCACCACACCAAGTATTCATTTGTGAATATTTTTGCACAAATTAATAAGTCACTCTATTCTACAATTTCCTTCTAAGTTATTGGATGTTTTATGGGAGACACTACAGAATAAAAGGGCATAATATCATGGTTTGAATTTGTCGAATATTGATATATTTCTCATAGTTTTCTGACCTTGATCCAAGAAAAGGGCTCCTTGGTACTCCAGGCATTGATTGATCCAGAATGATGAAGTCTGGCCAGGTTTGGGGTCCACTGACCTTTGTCCAAGAAAGAAGAGAGAGATTATATTATTTTATATTCAACTGTATCTTAAAAACGTTGGAACAATAGTATTATCTAGAGAAAGCTTAATACTTGCTGTGGAAGAGATAGAGAAAAGCATAAAAGTTTTGTAGTATGATAATATTGATTAGTGTTTAAATAATTTGTTTTTTGATATTATATATACCATACTTTATTTTTTATGGGGTGCGGTACCAGGGAATGAACCTGGGCCCTTCCATGTGTTAAGCAAGTACTCTACCACTGAGGTATATATGAAATCTTCAAGTGGTACTATAGTATTTCTTTATCATATAATGTACATTTATTATTGTAAAGCCAGAAAATTTAAAAATAGTAAAAAAACAAAATGAAAAACATAGTCTTTCCATCCAGAAATTCCTTAAATAATACTCAAACCTTTTTTTTCTTTCTCTTTTAAAGTAGAGGTTGACAAAATTTTCATGTCAAAAGACGGATAGCAAGTACTTAAATAGTGGTAGATTAGATGGTCTCTGTTTTAACTACATAACTATCATTTTAGCCATAGATACTATGTAAATGAATGGGTATGACTTTGTTGCAGTATAAGACTTTTATGGACATATCAACTTGAATTGTATAATTTTAATGTGCCATGAAACATTTTTAAATTCATTTAAAAATGGAAAAGATGGGCCAGTGAGATGCCTCAGTGAGTAAAAGTGCTTGCCACTAAGGTCGATGACTTGAGTCTGATCTACATATCAGAAAAGAAAGGACTCATGTAGACTGTCTTATGACTTCTACATGTGCACACAGGCATGAATGCGTACACACATACACATAAATCAGTATATTTTTTTGTTTTTCAAGATAAGGTTTCATTGTGTAGCCTTGGCTGTCCTGGAACTAGCTCTGTAGACCAGACTAGCCTCA